AAAATGTACATTTTACAGCTACTTGGATTACTTAGATTACTTGGATTACAAAGACAGAGGAAGATATATTATACCAGTTATAGTTGCACGAATTAGATTTTAAGGTAAGTTCTTTTTTATATGGTTAATAGATCTAGATAGGCTACAAATTCAGCATTGTGAAATTAATAAAAACAAAGTGTATATTTTGCCGTCCGACGGTTCGACATGCGCAGTTGTCGATTCCTGATATATTCCACCATTTTGGAACATTAAAAACAACTCGTCTTTCAAGTTCGGCGCAGAAGCACGATTTTACTGACAGTCTAAGTACTTAAATTAAAAACCAAAATCCACAGAAATGCGCTCTCGACCAAAATAGAATAATATTCTAAATGCTTTTCTACAATTTACATTTATTATCTTATTTTCTTTTAAAAATAATTCTCCATGTTCTACCATCAGAAATTAAGTATGGCTATTTGCTTCCTTATAAGAATAGGAGAAAGAAGCAATGTTAGACAAAGGACGAATAGAACTGTCTGGTGGTTTTGGGTTAGGGTTGGATTATGGGTTAATATCAAACGGTAAAATAGCCCACGAGTTGAAAGAGCCGGCATCATTGCCAAAGCGAAAAGTCCAGGAATCAGACAACTGCGCATGTCAAACGGAAGTGACGGCTAAATAGTAAATAAAGTAAAGAACCGTCGGACGGCAAAATATACACTGCCTAATAAAAAATAACGTTCTAGTATCGATGTTCTAGTCCTTATTTTCAGTTTTTTCATCATTTTTCTTAATTTCTTAGGAATCACTTCAGTCACGACATCTGACACAAATTTATAATGACACAATTTATAATGCGATTCGTAAACCTAAACAAGTTATACATTTTGTATTTATCCGCATCAAAGTAGCTAAGTCTCTAACTCAATATCATCCAAAGTCTTCGACAATGAAAACACGAATTATTTGATAATTTAAATTCAGAATTATGTTGTGATCTTCCCGGGAAAAGAAGGGCTTCTGATATCCAATATTTAAGACAAAATAAACATTTTACCATTGGCATTGGTACAAGAAATGTGCACCATAATATACTGCGTTTCAGGCTCTTGTTTTACAAGGGACAAGTCATGTCAAACGGTGACAGCATATCTTATCTGGAGAGTATGCACAATAAATACTAGAATAACCAGACGCTAGAGATTGTTATTCGATTGATACTTCTGGCATATTTCGTCTGGCAATTACTGATTTGAAATTGAGTAAAAATGGAAACGATTGATTGTAAATCAGTTTACATGTATATTACAATATTATATGCGCTGCGACCCATTTCTAGGACAAATCTTAGCGATTTAGCTCCTTTTTAATGTTAAAGAAGTTAAATCGCTAATATTTGGGACCTAGGAATTGATCCATATGGGTCAACACGTATATAATAATGTAGTGTGATTGTATATAAACTGATTTACATTCAATAGTTTCAAATCCTTTTATGTACAGCGAAATGCGGCATGATTCTCAACCGAATAGCAGTTTCTAGCGTGTGGTTATTCCAGTCTATTACGCATGCTCTCCAGATAAGATATGGCGTCACTGTTACAAATGACGCTGAAACGCACTATGGTACACGAATCGTGTACCAATGGTAAAATGTATTTGTCTTAAATATTGGATATCGGAAGCTTACCTTTTCCTGGTAAGATCCAATCCTCCATGTTGATTTGACAAATAATTCGTATTTGCGGCGTTTAAGACTTTGGGTGATATTGAGTTAGAGAAATGAAATGAACTGGGGTTTAAAGCTACAATTTCATATTTTTAAGTTATATTTTTAAAGTGTATTAAAATAAAGCCTTAAAATCGATGCTATGTATAAACACAAAAACTGAGTCACATCAAACATGAATGCCCTCAAATTGTACACATCACTTGTGCTACATGTAGGTACATGTTTATAATACACATTTACAAAAATCGATTTTCACGAAATTCAAAGAAAATCACAAGCATTATGTGCAGAAAAGTAATAATCAAAAATTAAAAGCTAACATTTTTGATTCGCAGTAACTGAATCATTAATATGCCTGTCACTTTGGATATTGACACATTTTGAAGACTAGAAGGCTTTCTCAACACTTTCGCTGTGTATAAAATGTCAAATAAAATTTTATAAACAAAACTGAATTCTCTGTGACACTACCCAGACACAATTGATTATACTACACGATACAGGGACATAACTTCTATGAAGAGGGACTATTAAACCGGAAATAGGGAAGCAAGTACTAGTACCACTAATGTTGAGCGACATGTCAATTTTTAGTAATTATAGAATTATATCAGTATTCAGTTTGAAAAAAAAATAAATCCAGTGTATTCCCCACATATTGTACATAAAAATAAAATATAAAAAAAAAATAAATACATGTAAGTAAACATGTTGTAAAATGAGAAATCAAAGTAAGAATTCCCCTAAAATATTATTGTTTATATCGCATGTGTCTAGTTCATCAAGTTTATTCGTGTGTGTCCGATTAAACAAAAATAGTAACACACAAAATTGTTTTCTGACGAAGAAATGACAAATTAAAATGAGTGGGGCTTCCGAAGACGCTGCCAAGAATTGGCTTAAGGCATACAACCTAATCACAAACTGTCACACACAGCCTGTAACAGTTCTATTTAGTTGTTATTTAGTTGTTGTACAGTATGTTGAAAGTGAAAAAGTGCTTATCAATTTTTAAATTTGCTAATCAAATTTGGCAAAATTGGACTTTGAAATACTGCTAATCAACTGTGAAAAATTACAGCCCCGTGATGTAAGGCTTTATTTAAACATACGACTGAAAAATGACTTGAAGAACGAACAAGCCACAAGATAGACCAAAAATAGAAAAAAAAAACATGCAGGTATGGCATGTGTATCACACTGTTTAAGAGAATATGACACGATTGAATTGATATGGTATTATCACTAACTTTTCAGACAATATAATTTTTCACTGCTAATCAAAATGTACTCAGTTGATTTTTTTAAAAATTTAAAGAAAAAACAACGAAAGCACCAACGATAATTGATCTTTCAAGAACATTAAAAAAAGGTCAATAAAAACATGTTACTCAATGCATGAAGCTCCTCTCCACTTGCTTGTTTTTATTGTCAACAGAGGCTAAAATGCTTATCTGCAGCTACATGGACATGTACATGTACACATTTTAAGGCGTAATACATGTACATGCTTGACAATATTTATTTGCCATTAAAAATGCCGCAACAATCCAGTACACGTTAGACAATATTTATTTACATGTACCATTAAAAATGCAGCAACAATCCAGTACACATTTCACAATATTTATTTACATGTACCATTACAATTGCCGAAACAATCCAGTACGTCATGTATATCGTTTGAATCTGGATTGTCGAAATTTCACCAATAAAATTGTCAAGAAGTTTTGAACAGGATATGCATACGTGTACTGTAGGTTTTGTGTTTAGATAGGGTGTTGAAATAGTATAATTTTTATATGCCCACATTTACATGTGGACGTATATATTGTCGTTGCCCCTGTTGAAGCTTTACAGGTCACAATTTTTATACACCCACATTGAAATGTGGTCGTATATTGTCATCGCCCCCGTCCATCAGTCCGGCGTCCACAATTGCTTGTGATATATACATGTATATTACTGTATATACATGTATATTACTGTAAATAGTCCAAACTCATGATATACATGTAAGACTATGAATGTAATAAATATAAAACTATATTAAGCATACTATACACGATTTGTTTTTTTGACTTTATGTTTGCTATGAAAAGAATCTGTTAACTGTTAATTTGGCGCAATTTGAAAATCAAAAAGTATTCCTATAGGTCACAAGGATTTCAGGAAAGGGGGTGAGAGAGAGAAATGGGGTTTAACGTCCACTCCACACAAACTAGGTCATTTCGGGACTAACATATGGTTTAATTTTATTTACATAATTCGCTTGTGCGTAGGGGTCTTTAGCAGTGGGAGGAAACCGGAGGACCCGGAGAAAACGCACGAGGCTGGACAGGCGACCCTACTCCTTGTCACGTACAACCGGGGATTCGAAACCACGCCAGTCGACTCAATGACAGACTTTATGATACAGCGCGCGCACGCTAAACATTCAGCCATCCAACCCCCCATTCAGGAATAGGAAATACATGTACATGCAACTCTGAAACAAATCCTCTTAACCTAATGATTTCCGTGGGAGTGTGTGGGGTGCATGGATTAAGGGCTGTCATTGAGTAACATGGTTTCAATTTCCAGGTTGACAGGGTAGTCTGTCCAACCTTGTGGGTTCTCCCCAGGTAATCCTGTTTCATCCCACGGGTAAAATCCCCTTAAATAAATTGACCCATATATTACATGTAGTTCCGAAATGACTTATTTTTGTTATCCTAAACTCGGGAATGGAAAGTCACAGTATTGATAGTATTTACTGAAACTGAACGCTAAATCAACTGATCTGTAGAACCATGTACATTTTCCCATTACCCACAAAAGAATAAATGTGGGACAACCCTTGTTGACGATTTAACTTCCGTGAGCATACATGTATATATCTTTTGTTGCTTGGAAAGATGACTGTAATTAATTATCATTCATAACAACAAATACCTTCAGCTCTTTCCCAATATATTGTGTGATATGTGTGGTTTAATGGTCGAGTGTGAGGCACTAAGTAATATATTGATATCGCATGAGTGCTATATCCCTACATGTACATGTATACCCATATATTACACAATGTCTTGCGCGAGACCATTAAACTCTTCAGCGCGTGCATTACATTTACAATGAAATACGTCACAAGGGTCCAATTTTTAAATTAGTATAAATAATGTACGCTTGGCACATTGCACGTACCCCAACATCAAAAGATGGCATCACCTGTATTATAGACTTGATGTTACAATCTTTAATTTTAAGCAATTACATTTATACTTGTATTATTTTACAGTTTAAAATGTACGCAATCGTTGAATTCCTTGATGATCAAGAAGTTGCGGTTGTAAATGCTGATTGGGTGTTGCCAAATGGATTCTGTTTTTGGCCACCATTTTAAGAATGCCAGTAAATTGTGTCATCAACTGTGTGGAAGCAGATGAAATTTGGCCGAAACTTAAAGTTCGCAAATTCTCAGAGACCAGTAAGTCTTTATGGCGCAGTATAAGCATGTATTTTTCCTTGGATCAGTGCTGTTAAATGTCAAAAGTAAACCAAAGATAATGTCATAATTTAGTATGAATTTTTGACTTGACTTCGCAAAACTTTAGAATACATCAAAGTAAATTCTTCTTTAAAAACATTTGTCTGGTAACAATGTTCAATTTGTATAGCATTTTATATATTACATATTTATTGTAGGTGACTACAGCAAAGCAAGAGAAAGAGTGGCAAGGACAGAAGAAACCTCGCAAGTTGAATCACATGTGGAAGAGATCCAGGCGAGGAAAAGAAGGTATATTTTAAAATATTATTTATGTGATGCTTGAGGCATATTACTTCAGGAATGTAAATGTTTAAGCTTTTTTTATCAAAAATTATGACATTTATTATGAACCATTTTTGAGACTATTCATGGATAAACATATTTAAGTTTATGCAGTGGACTGAGCTAGAAGATTTCATTGTTTACAATTTATTAAATTTATTATTTCAGGCAACCTATTCGGTTCATTGAATCCTCCAGTGATTCTGAAGATGAGCATCAAAAACCTCCATCACCACCAAAAATAAACACTCCCAGATTAAGTAAGATATTAATATGCCTAATAAGTAAAAATGATAGTGAATGCTCTAAATGAAGCAGTTTGGATGGATTATTAATTTTTTAAAAAAGAAATAACTAATGCTTATAAAACAGTTATATATTTGTTTTATTGTTTCTTGCATTGTATAGGCATGAACTCGCCAGTGACACCATCTACACCTCAGCGGTCAGTAGAGCAAATTAGACGACAATTTACAACAGGTAATATCACACTTCTATATTGATCAATAATGAAACGGAAAGCTAATATTATTACAAACTTCAATAGCCATAACATACAAATTTAGTGAAAGATACATAATTGAAAATATCAGTCAAATTGTTCCACTCTGAACCGATATATTAGCTTTTGAATTTTAAGCCTAGCCTCGATCATCATTACTAAAGTTGATATGGTAACAAAAACTTATCCATATTTGGATTTAATCATCAATGAGCGTTGAGCAGCAGATTGGATTCAATTTCAGTGAAAATCTGACACATAAGATGACATCGCGAGTTGTGGTTTGGTTTGGATAAGTCAATTATATAAAAGAGTAGACTGCAGCATTAGCCCATTTCCTTTTTTTGCATACATTATATATTCAGGGTGTGAATACTATTGTATTTCAGGTGCTGGCCTAATTTCCTCCACCCCATTAGCAGCCCCTGAACGACCAATAGCACCCAAACCAGTAGCACCAGGTAAGAGAAGTGTTGAAATGACAATTTTTGTTTAGGTGAAATGGTTAATATGGCTCGCAGAGGCTCAGTTAGTAAGGTACTTGCTCAATAACCAGGTGTAGGATTTGTTCTCAGTGTTAGCCGAGAGTTCCTAGGGATTTTCACGGGTGGTACCTGGCATGAAAAAGTATCAAGTTGTCCAGATGACATAAAAGTCCCAAAAACCCTTGGCAGTTGGTATTTGGAATAATAGTAGGCCATAGCACTGGGCAAAATTGGTATATTGTACATGTATATCACGTCTGTCATCATTCGCCCAGTCGATGCAAAAAAGTAAGACGTTAAATCCCATTTCATTTCTTAACAAATAGTCATATTAACAAACCGTAGCAAAGTACATGTAGGTAAGGATGCAACGGAAAATTTGTCAATGTTATCTTATTCTTTCAGCTTACATGTTGCAAATAATTACGATGCTTGAAAAAATAAACCAAAGGATGGACGATATTGAGAAAACCCAACGGGAGCAAAACGGGAAATTAAACCAACTTTTGATTGTTGCTGGTGTCGCTGGACCAGAATTAGAACTCCCAGCATCACTTAAATTGCCTATCAGATCAGTACAATCGTAGAATGTAATAGTGTAATGATTTGCTGAAAGACAAGAGCACAAAAGAGAGTTTGGTAAGTTTATTTTGTTCATTAAAATTTTCACGAGTTACATTACCGGTAATTTCAATACACCTAGATGAAAGCAATACCCAAAATATAATAGAGAGTGATAAATAAATGCGATAGTAAAAGCATAAGTGCTATTAGCCTGCATTTGAATATTTGTTCGTACTGTCATCCTCTTTACAGTCTCTAATTTACAAGCAATTGCTGCGAGTGCAAAATTTGAACATTTCTATAAAAAAATATCACTTTTGTTTTTACAGATCTTACATTTGAGTACCATTGGGGGTACAAATGCAAAAGAAGTGACGAAAAGAATTATGAAAGTACTCTGATTCACAACGATGTATACAGAACACAGATAGTGCGAAATGGGATAGAGAAATGGGATTTAACGTCCACTCGACACAAACTGGGTCATTTTGGGACTAACATGGTTTAATTTTATTTCAATAATTCGCTTGCGCATTTGGGTCTTTAGCAGTGGGAGGAAACCGGAGAATACCCACAAGGTTGGACAGGCGACCCTACTCCTTGTCACGTACAACTAGGGATTCAAAACCATGCCAGTTGACTCAATGACATGCCTTATGATACAGCATGCACGTGTTAACCTTGCCCACCCCCCCCCCCATTTTTTGGAAGAGTTATTTATTTCATAAATTTTTTTCAGGGGCTGTACGAAAAAATCCTATGACCATGCATGCAACAGATTTAGAAATAAATGAATGTATAAAAAATTGGCTGCGTTATGCTCCAGAAAGAATAAAAAAGGGTATTTTGTAAATATGTAATTTGTCATAACTTTTTTCTGTATGTGTATGTGTAAGTTATAATTTTGGTAATTTTTATTTTTGGGAAATATGTACATGCACTAGCTCTGATTATCACCCTCGCGCTTAGTAGCTGCACTTGAGAGCTCTGTCAATTTATCTAATATTTTGAAAGTAATACTGTTCCTATTGGTGTGATGATTAGCAAGGAAGTGTTTGAGGGTCTGAAGACATTTTTGTTATGATCTTTCATACATTGGATAGGTGCAGCCTAGATTTTCAAATCTTTGTATATACTTTTATATTATGGATTCATTTTTTATTTTATTTTCGTAGTTTAATTTTGGGTTTGTGTTTGGGGGGGGGGGGGGGTATCCTTTATAGTGCTAATTGTTCCCCTTTTTTGCTTTTTGATATCGATGTATGTTTGAATGAAATTTCTCTGTAATGATGTTGTTATTTTATGTTGTACATGTATATAGTAATGGTTTGTTCATCACCATGCTTGTATTCTTGTTATTGGCGTGGTTTCGAATCACCGGTTGTACGAGACAAGGAGTAGGGTCGCCTGTCCAACCACGTGGGTTTTCTCCGGGTCCTTCGGTTTTCTCCCTCTGCTAAAGACCCGTACGCGCAAGCGAATTATTGAAATAAAATTAAACCATATGTTAGTCCCAAAACTGAACCTTTGAACCCCATTTCTCTCTCTCCCCATTTTCATAATGTAAAAGAAAATAAATTTTTTAATAGTGCTATATAGACTTTTTGTTGTAACCAATTGTTCAATTATCACCATTTCAGTATGTATATGTATGAGTGCTGTTATACTTTAAAATATATTTTTATATCTATTTTCTAAATAAAATTTAGATACTTTATTGACAGTGTTTGTTGTAATTAAGTTTCAGAAGGGATTGGGGTGTTGATACCCGAATTTTTAGCATGTGTGGGTTATATCATAAGGGTGGTATGGTTTCAATTCCCTGGTTATACATGACAAGGAGTCCAAAGTCGTGTGTTTTTTCCAGTTCTTGTGAATTACTCCTATTGCTAAAGACCCCTATGTGCAAGCGAATTATCCCCGAAGTTTGTTGAGTGGGAAGGGATTTGAAAAGACTATATTATGTGTATATCTTTTAGTTCTGATGTAACGTAAGTAACGTAAACTTTACGCAAATTTTACGTTAGATTTACGTCAGAAAGTGACGTAAACTTTACCTTAGATTTGCGTATATCTTTTAGTTCTGATGTAACGTAAGTAACGTAAACTTTACGCAAATTTTACGTTAGATTTACGTCAGAAAGTGACGTAAACTTTACCTTAGATTTGCGTCAGAAAATGACGAAAATATAACGTAAAAATGACGTAAACTTTACGTTAGATTGACGTCATTTCCTGACGTGAACTTATCGTTAAAAAGATGAGCAAAATGATGGTAAACTGACCATTTTTACGTAAAATTAACATCAGTTTGTTATGTGGGTAAAGACAAGAAATATTCACCTAGGATTTTTACAACCACTTTTAAAATTACACGGAACAAACATTAGACATTAGACATGTCGCTTACTCCCTTCTATACTTCGGGAACAGCAACTAACAAATTCAGAATACCTTCTTAAATACCCTACCTCAAACTAAAACTCACACACAGCATGATTTTCAGACAGTCATATGCACACATGCAAACATTAGACATTAGACATGTCGCTTACACCCTACTATACTTCGGGAACAGCAACTAACAAATTCAGAATACCTTCTTAAATATCCTACCTCAAACTAAAACTCACACACAGCATGATTTCCAGACAGTCATATGCACACATGCACATCACTCATGGTTTTATAATTAACAACCAGAACACCTTGTTAAATTCAATGCATTTATTTCAGTCTGGATAATCAGTAAACAATCTATGCCGGTAAACAAGGTCAATGAGTACATTAAAGAGACAGTACCCAACTCTATAAAGGGCCAATACCTCACTCAATGCATGCTTTTGTGAATAGGAGACGTCGGCAATATAGTCTTATATACCGCAAATAGTATATATTATTAAGTATTTATTTATAAATTATAATTGCAAAGAGGATGGCATAACATGAAGAGGTTATAGTACGAGACGATAATCGTTTTCTAAGTTGTATACGAATATCAACGCCTCACAAAGCGTTATCGTAACCAACCTGCAAATTCGAGAAATGGGAAGTAGCAATATTAGCATTAGATAATTTTCATAACAGTACACCCATGTTGATCGATATGAATACGAATTAACTTTTATCTTTAACCGTTTGTTATATAGGTCACTCATTCTCAAAAATAAAAATATATCAACATGGCATGTTTATTAAAAGCTATTGCCTACACTCACATATCTTGACTATACAAGGTCAAGGGTCATTGAACGGCTAGGTCACCAGCTAGAGGGTGAAAAGTCGAACAGAATTCAAAGTGAAACCGGAAGTAAACAAAATCGAAATTCAAAAATCGGCTGCCTAAAAATTGTTGACATTTGGAGTACGTTCAAAACAAAAACAAGTTATTTTGGAAAATCGCAATCAAAATGGCGACTGAATATCGATTTGAAGGTTTCTTGTAAATTCCAATATGGCGGGCCAAACGGTTGAAAATGTTATGGAACAAGGTCTCTGAAAATGAAAAATAATATCTGTGGCTAACACGGCCATGTGTCATTTTTAGTCTATTTATAAAATGGAGAGAATTATTCACGTTTGTGAAAAATCGGAAGGCCTCGGGAATTTCCGTAAGTTTCCGGAAGCCGTCACAAAATTTTTTAATATGCTATTTTGAAGGCACCGATGTCTTCTTCATTCCTATCAAATAGTGACGGAGATACGCCATCTTGAATGTCGAAAAAAATGACGAAGAAAACTTTCGTAAATCTTTGATGCTATATCAATCGAACGAACTTCCGAATTTCGAAAAACCGTCAGTCAGAGTCCATATGGAAATTCGTCCAGAGAATCCAAAAATGAAAACCCGAAGAAAATCCGTTGAGAAATAACAGAGATATGGGCAATCTGAGATAATTTTTGTCCCATCCGTAAAACAGTTCCTGTTGGTCAAAAATAACCCAATTTATATTTAATAAATAGACGCACGGAGGTCAACCACATCTACTTTAGCAGAATGTTTGCACCATGTACAGTTTTGGCTGCACAAACTGACTACCCCCCCCCCCCCACACACAATTTTTTTTATAAATAAAAACACTTACAGAAACATTACTGGCGTGTTTCGGTACGTCAGGACACGCCTTGTCACGTCAACAATCAAGTTACACCATGCTTTATTGAGTATAGTATTCTACAGCAATTGTATTCATATTTTTTACCCACTTTACACCATGGATAAAAAGGGATTTTAAAGGTAGTAAAACAATATTTATAAATATTATACACACATGATTTCATAGCCGTTATCAAGCATAGACAATTTAAAATGCGCCGAGATGCGAAAGCTGTATCTCTACACAAATTTGATAATAAGAAACAATTGGCTATATGAGCGCGCGACGAATCGTTATTCGCCCGGGGCTCAAGTTCGATTCCCTAAAACATTCCCTGATACCCCATACATGTTAGTGCAGAAGCGTGATTTGCCCGGGCTCAAATTCAGTGGCCTAAAACATTCACGTGTTCATGCTGGTTATTTTCGCAATACGCAAAATAGGGATTAGGATATCATGTCTTCAAACAAGGTATGCCGCGGTGGCTCATTGGGTATGGTTTTTACTCCGTACCCAGGCGGTCCGGTGTTCGGCAAGAGAGTTCCTCGTGGATTTTCTTGCCCGATTTCCCGTCGATGAAAAACACCTAGTCCTTCGGTTGGAATATAAAACTGAGGCCCATGTATACCATTGGCAGCACGAAAAAAAAGAAGAGTAGGGTGTAGCTTTGCTGCTCGGGCAAAACTTCCCTCATAGCCAACTGCACACTGATCAGCAGTGAATATTCGCTAGGCCGCTACAGCAATCACTGAATTTGGTGTAACTGGTTTAGCTCTCGAACTACTTAAATCTTATTTAACAAATCGGTCCCAATCTGTCATTATAAACAACAAACAATCTGACAAAAAAAAAAGAACTTTGGTGTACCCCAGGGCACAGTTTTAGGCCCAATTTTGTTCAGCATATACACCACCCCATTGTCTAAAATTATTGAGAAACATGGTCTGCAGTTCCAACTTTACGCAGATGACACTCAGTTGTATCTGTCGTTTAAACCCTCTCTGCCTGGAGATTTCAATACATCAAAATATCAAATTGAAGAGTGTATTAGTGAAATTCGTGTATGGATGGGAATCAATTTCCTTAAACTGAACGACGAAAAGACTGAATATATTCTTTTTGGATCAAACACTTGCGGTTCGATCGATAGACTCTATATTTTGTGTACGCATCAGTTTTTCCTTAGATAGTACAGAAAAAAAAATCAAGGCAATCTGACTTATATGTTGTCGATATTTTTGAAAATTTTGATCCTTAATTTTTCCAAGGGGAGATAAGTTGGAAAAGTTTCAGAAACATCCTATGGGTAGATTCTGAGAAATCCCGTTTGCAGAAAACACACACACACACAAAATAATAACTAGATCTGTCAGGCAGATATGAGAGCTTTCATATTTAAGGTCACTTCCTGACACATGTCAGGGGTTATTTAAAGCAGAATTTTTTTTTATTACGATCGGTCACCCCCCCCCCCTCCACACACACACACACACAAAAAGACCCCAAGACTTGTATTGCTGTAATTGGATTGACTACACATTCCAAAAGTTTCAGAAATATGGATCAAGCCGTTTAAAACGGGACAGATGGGAAAATGAAATGGCGGGAAAATATCGAAAAATTAAATGAGATAACATTGAATGGAACTTATATTTTTGGAATTAGATTGACCTCAGCTGTTCGTTTATCTAGGTTAAATTTTGAAAATTAAGGAAATAAATTGTCCTGTAAACAATTTTGTCGCCACGAAAAGGGTCAAAGGCGAAATTCGAAATTTTTCAATTTTTAAATACCACAAATTCGACCCTTATTCAAGCTATGCAGAAATGTATCCATTTCGGAAATAGGAGACGAATTCTCCAAACTACGGCCTGTTGTGTAACTTTTTAAAACCATTCCTTCAAGGATTCACAAAATATAACTCCCATGTCTGTAAATAAAATATGGCAAAAGCCTTAGGGATTTTTCACGGTTCAAGATGTTGGCACTTCCGGATCGATCGACAAACTCCATATTATGTGTACGCATCAGTAATTTCTTAGCTAGTACAAAAATAAATTTTTAAGGCAATCTGACCTACTTTTTGTCGATTTTTTTTGAAAACTTTGATCCTTAATTTCTCCAAAGGGAGATAAGTTAGGAAATTTCTAATGACGTCTTTCGAAATTTCATGAAAATCGTGCAGATATCAAAAACGTCCATTTTCACTTTTGACAGTGTATCTCTTTGCGAGTGAAATGGGGCCGTCAGATAAGTCGCCCATATGAACTGTTTATGTTCATGTATAGGCAATTGGCCTGTTATTAACATACAGTGGTTACCTCTAATGAAAACCTCAGTACATGTCCGCAGTTTTGTATTGTTTCTGAATATCACCTACTTTTTTTGAAGAGTATATATGTCTTTGTAGCTTAGGAGGGACTTATGGAAGACTAGTTTTTTGCAAACTATTATTATTATTTATTATTATTATTCTTATAATTCGGTGATTTCGGATTCGTAAAACGTTTTGAAAATATATTCAATCAAAGCTCACCACCCATTTTTATGGGGTAGGTCAAACTTTCAGAAATATCCCAGGGTTAGATTCTTAGAAATCCGATTTTCAGAAAACACACACACACCACACACACACACACACACACCCACACCCACACATAATACCAATAAAATCTTAACAGAAACAATAAACTTTCATATGTAATATCAAAGCTTAATAATCTTAACAAAAAAAATAAGCTTTCATATGAAATATGAAAGATTGATAACTTTAACAAAAACAATAAGCCTTCATATTTTATGAAAGCTTAATAAAAACGTGTTTCATTTGTAATATAAAAGCTTTGATATGAAATATAAAAGATTAATAACTTTAACAAAAACAATAAGCTTTTATATCAAGAAAGCTTAATAAAAAAAACTCTTACGAAAACTACACGTGTTTCGACAGAAGGTTCGAAAGACGTAATTAATAAATAAGCTTAAGATCTAATGCCAGAATCAATGAGAACGGTTGATGGGTGTACACATAATGTAATTAGGGGATCACGTGGCTAAGTGGGTAAGACGCTAGCTCGCTAGCCTGGAGGTCGGGTGTTCGATCCCTGCATTGGCCGAGAAAGTTCATCCAGATTTTCCGGCGTGGTTCCCCCTTGTCAGTGATACAGGACGGAGGGTCTGACAAGGACAGCTGTCTAGTCCTTCGGATGATACGAAAAACCGAGGTCCCGTGTATACATTGGAATGCACGTAAAAGATCCCTTGGTAGTTGGAATTCGATATAAGAGTAGGCGATAGTGCCGCTGCCCGGGCAAAATTTCCCTCATAGCACACTGTTTGGCGTATGCCCGTCTTCATTAGTCCAGTTCGGAGCAGAACAGTAGGACGTTAAACCCCATTTCATTTCATTTCATTCTGGGCTAATTTAGTAATGAAGACGGCTACACGCCATGCAGTGTACAATTAGGAAATGTTGCCTGGACTGAAGCGCTACGGCCTGGTCTTTATTTGGAATTCCAACTGTCAAGGGACCTTGTGTACAAGGCGCCTCAATTTTCCGCCCCTGAACGACTCGACGTTGTTACTTGCCAGATACACCGCCCTGTAACACTAACAAGGGGAACCTACACCCGAGAGCGAACCCGAGGCCTGTTGGCAAGCGAGTTAGCGCCTTACTAACCTGAGCCAATTAATTTGGGAAGTAAGCTGGATCCGATTTAAATCATTCAAAATGCAAAACAAAAAAAAAAACAACAAAAAATCAGTTTGAATAGTTTAAATGCCAAGGAGGAAATCGTTCCAGCAACGTGACAATCTTCCAATTTTAGCCCGTCCACATTAACTTATACATTGCTCTACGGATTTAAGTTCTTAGTTGATTAGTACTTGACGTGTTTAAATTTGAGATGACAATCCGTATAGAAATTTCGTCTGTAAGATCACTATTTCTGCTCCCACGGACCAGTCGATGAAAAAGTTTAAATTAGTTGTATTTTCATATATCCTCCCCCCCGCCCCCCACACATCCTTCATATTTTACAAAAGTTATTGATACGATAGTCTTACATTTTGGAAATTCGCATAGCAGCCATATAAGGCACGGTGCCAACACCCAAATCGGACGGCCATGCTAATGTTTCTCGGTTGCCAGTCAACTGACTTTCAGAGCAGTCGGTCGTGTCTGCATACCACCATCCACCACCAACCTTTGCTGCGCAGTTGAAGTTTGTCAAGTCTTGATCCAAAGTAGAAAATGGTCTGCCATTGATATTGATAGATCCAAGTAAGGAATCACCGCATTTGGCTGTTTTATCAGTTTGATAAGCCCCCACTTGCAAGCGATAATTTGTCGACGAATTGCCAATTTCAAAATCCTCATACGTATTTTCACAATACGGTTTATTGAATATACTCTTCAAAAAAAGTAGGGGATATTGAAATGCAAATACGTATGCAGGTTGTGATATGATAAATAGTCATGGACACTTGACATGCTTTGAGAGTATGAACTGTTTATGTTCATGTGTAGGCAATTGGCCTGTTATTAACATACAGTGGTTACCTCTAATGAAAACCTCAGTACATTTCCGCAGTTTTGTATTGTTTCTGAATATCACCTACTTTTTTTGAAGAATATATATGTCTTTGTAGCTTAGGAGGGACTTATGGAAGATTAGTTTTTTGCAAACTATTATTATTATTTATTATTATTATTATTATAATTCGGTGATTTCGGATTCGTAAAACGTTTTGAAAATATATTCAATCAAAACTCACCACCCATTTTTATGGGGTAGGTCAAAGTTTCAGAAATATCCCAGGGTTAGATTCTTAGAAATCAGATTTTCAGAAAACAAACCCCCCCCCCCCACACACATAATACCAATAAAATCTTAACAGAAACAATAAACTTTCATATGTAATATCAAAGCTTAATAATCTTAACAAAAACAATAAGCTTTCATATGAAATATGAAAGATTGATAACTTTAACAAAAACAATAAGCCTTCATATTTTATGAAAGCTTAATAAAAACGTGTTTCATTTGTAATATAAAAGCTTTGATATGAAATATAAAAGATTAATAACTTTAACAAAAACAATAAGCTTTTATATCAAGAAAGCTTAATAAAAAAAACTCTTACGAAAACTACACGTGTTTCGACAGAAGGTTCGAAAGACGTAATTAATAAATAAGCTTAAGATCTAATGCCAGAATCAATGAGAACGGTTGATGGGTGTACACATAATGTAATTAGGGGATCACGTGGCTAAGTGGGTAAGACGTTAGCTCGCTAGCCTGGAGGTCGGGTGTTCGATCCCTGCATTGGCCGAGAAAGTTCATCCAGATTTTCCGGCGTGGTTCCCCCTTGTCAGTGATACAGGACGGAGGGTCTGACAAGGACAGCTGTCTAGTCCTTCGGATGATACGAAAAACCGAGGTCCCGTGTATACATTGGTAGTTGGAATTCGATATAAGAGTAGGCGATAGTGCCGCTCCCGGGCAAAATTTCCCTCATAGCACACTGTATGTCGTATGCCCGTCTTCATTAGTCCAGTTCGGAGCAGAACAGTAGGACGTTAAACCCCATTTCATTTCATTTCATAATGTAATTAATTTTGGAAATAAAATGGAATGGCGTTTAGCGCCCTACCTTGCTGCACTATCTGGGCTAATTTAGTAATGAAGACGGCTACACGCCATGCAGTGTACAATTAGGAAATGTTGCCTGGACTGAAGCGCTACGGCCTGGTCTTTATTTGGAATTCCAACTGTCAAGGGACCTTGTGTACAAGGCGCCTAAATTTTCCGCCCCTGAACGACTCGACGTTGTTACTTGCCAGATACACCGCCCTGTAACACTAACAAGGGGAACCTACACCCGAGAGCGAACCCGAGGCTTGTTGGCAAGCGAGTTAGCGCCTTACTAACCTGAGCCAATTAATTTGGGAAGTAAGCTGGATCCGATTTAAATCATTCAAAATGCAAAACAAAAAAACCCAACAAAAAATCAGTTTGAATAGTTTAAATGCCAAGGAGGAAATCGTTCCAGCAATGTGACAATCTTCCAATTTTAGCCCGTCCACATTAACTTATACATTGCTCTACGGATTTAAGTTCTTAGTTGATTAGTACTTGACGTGTTTAAATTTGAGATGACAATCCGTATAGAAATTTCGTCTGTAAGATCACTATTTCTGCTCCCACGGACCAGTTTAAATTAGTTGTATTTTCATATACCCCTCCCCCCGCCCCCCACACATCCTTCATATTTTACAAAAGTTATTGATACGATAGTCTTACATTTTGGAAATTCGCATAGCAGCCATATAAGGCACGGTGCCAACACCCAAATCGGACGGCCATGCTAATGTTTCTCGGTTGCCAGTCAACTGACTTTCAGAGCAGTCGGCCGTGTCTGCATACCACCATCCACCACCAACCTTTGCTGCGCAGTTGAAGTTTGTCAAGTCTTGATCCAAAGTAGAAAATGGTCTGCCATTAATATTGATAGATCCAAGTAAGGAATCACCGCATTTGGCTGTTTTATCAGTTTGATAAGCACCCACTTGCAAGCGATAATTTGTTGACGAATTGCCAATTTCAAAATCCTCATACGTATTTTCACAATACGGTTTATTGACTATACTGAAAATGATATCTAATTTATTTCTAGCGTTTTGATTCAGAAGTAGTTTGATACGGTCTAGACCTAACCAATACTCTCCCATAGGGTCGCCAAATCCACCTACGTACTCTGTGATAGTGCGATTAAAATTAAAGGGGTTGCATTCTGCAAATCGCCTCATAATGAATGTAGAACCTCCCCATCTTAATTCACAGAGTACTTCAAATGGCTCATCTGAAGAATGGGGTTGAATGAAGGTCCTGACCCATCGTTGAAATACACCCATGCCTTTCTGGTTTCCGTCACTACAATCTACAATAAACAAATGACGACACATTTCACAAATTTCAATATAGATATAATTGGTAGTATTGACGTTTTCATTTTAAATTTTTTTTTTATCTATATTAACAACAAACGTGGTTTTTTTATAAAGTAGGGAATGGAATATGTCAATGCAACAATTGTATTACCTTAATATTAGGGTAAAGATAGGGAGAGCATCATCCTGTCTTAAAAAAAAATAGAAGATGGGGGGGGGGGGCTTTAAAGGGCGTTTTTGGTACCACTGTTTATTGTAGAATGATCTATTGGTTTATAAAACACCCACCTGTGATAACCTGGTCACATTTCTGTCCATAACGACCAACTGGACAACTGTACTGGGTACCATTTAAACTGTATAGCTAAAACATAGAATGAAACAAACATTCTCTTACTTCTGCCATAAAATCGTTAGTTGCTACATAAACTTTTTGTATTCAATTCATACATACATGACATTTATTTAAAAAAAAAATTAAGTGGTTTATACTGTAGTGGGTTTTGCTCCACTGAGTTGGTGTTGTGTTTTTGGTAAAAGATACATCTAACACAGGAATAACAATGTTATTTTTTTAACGGAAAAACACCATTCCGTCTGTGTTTCATTCTACTTATTTTCCTGACAACAGACACCCATAACAATTCGCAAGATACTTTTTTTTTTATCAAAACAATGGTGAAAGGAGCTGAAGCTGTAACTCAATATTTCCATAATACACGAATTAGAAATCAATAATATGTAGCACCATGTGTCTTTTGTCAGATGTGGAAAGCAGGCTCTCAATTCCGGTCGCCACATCCTACGTATGACCCATGCATTTTTTTCTTTCTACATATCTTAATAGCCTTGTGATCGTCTAGTATTTTCACTTGTCGTCTTTGCTTCCTCTTCACGCTGTGTATTTTCTTCTTCTTATTATCTATACTAGACGCTTGTCTTACCAGGAATAACAATACATCAGTTCGTTTTTACATTTTATATATCAAGCTGCTTACCAATGGTACAATGCATAATAGATTATAATAAAGTCATCCTCTCAAACCCCATCCAGCCAGACTCGCTGGGGCGAGCCTGATGATAGGAATTGATACATCTTCTCCTTCTGGATTTCAAGCGGCTGTCTGACGAATGTTTAGAGATATATACAAGTTTAAGAATTTTAAATGGTAGAATAAATAACGATCTAAATGGAAATTTTACATTTAACAGCAGTAAAGGCTACAGCCTAATAGATTACCTACTAATGAATTATAAATACTGTAATCTTATTATTGATTTTACATAATGTTGTGATTTCAATAAATACTCCGATCATAGCCCAATTATGTATAGTTTTATACACGCATGTTCTGTTAATACACCTGGTTTAGATATCAGTAAAAGAAAAATCGGTCATTAAATGGGAAGGAGTTAGAACAGAAAATCTTATTAGTGATGTTAGTTTAATTAAATCCTGCTTGATACATGATTGTAAAATTGGAGAGTTAAAGCTAAACTCCGATTACAAAACTACAGAAATAAATAACAAATGGTAACGCCCTAAACGACCGCCATACTTGTTTTCAATTTGTGGAAGAAACATGGCGATCGCTTAGGGGTAACAAAAACACAGCCAGGCCATGTCCAGTACATGCCGGTCAAGCAAACTGTCCACATCCGGTTAGCTAGTCAACTACCAATTACCTCCTGACTGATTTAAGTTCTTTCACTATCACTACTATCAGCTAACTGAAAATATTATTGCTGCACAATTTTTATGTCTTATCAGGTACATATTACTTTAGCATCTACTCGCCCTACTGTAGAAGAAAGTATTATAAATTATATTAATGCAGATGACTTAAATTCACAATTTTGTAAAATCGAATTATAACGAGAGTGAAATACGAAAATGTATGCAAAACCTTAAGCTTAATAAAACATCATTTTGCGATAATATCCAAAATGAACTCCTAATGCAATGTAAAGACGTTCTGATGGCCTGTTTAGTGGGGATTTTTAATAATGTTCTCAGTTCGGGGAGCTTTCCTTCAACGTGGGCTATAGGAAACTTGGTGCTAGTCTACAAGAAAGGGGACGCTAATGATCCAAATAACTATATGGGAATATCTATTGTCTCGTATCCTGAATAATAGACTACTAAAATTTGACAAAAAAATATAACATAATATCACCGAGTCAGTTTTGATTCCGAAAAAAATGTAAGTACGGTAGATGCAATTTTTTTCTCCAAGCACTTATTAATCGAACCCTAAAACAGAAAAAAAAACCCGTCTATACTTCTGCTTCGTGGATCACAGTACGGCTTTCGATTTTGTTAATAGATACAACTTATAGCATAAGCTTATACAACAGGGAATAGGGGGTAACTTTCTTAAGGTAGTTAGATCACAATACGAAAAAGTTAAGTGCTGTGTTAAATTCGAAAATGGCGTATCAGATATATTTCAGTGTCAAAATGGCCTCTTTTTGGGCGAGGTCCTCTCCCCTGTCCTATTTTCAATGTATTTGCATGATTGTGAGTCTCATCTACTAGCAGACGATTGTCCAACTTTAGATATACAAACGTTAAATATTCTTATGATTAGGTATGCTGATGAAAAAGAAAACTGGTCATTCTATAATCAAAATCTTGAAGTTGTTGACTCATTTAAATACTTAGGAGTATTGTTGAATTTTAATTGTAAACTTATAAAAACGCAAAAACAAAACAAAAAAAAGGAACAACAAACAAAACAAAAAAACCCCAACGTATCAGACCAGGCCAGAAAAGCACTATTTTCCGTTTTAAAGGGACCTTGTGTACAAGGCGCCTCAATTTTCCGCCCCTGAACGACTCGACGTTGTTACTTGCCAGATACACCGCCCTGTAACACTAACAAGGGGAACCTACACCCGAGAGCGAACCCGAGGCTTGTTGGCAAGCGAGTTAGCGCCTTACTAACCTGAGCCAATTAATTTGGGAAGTAAGCTGGATCCGATTTAAATCATTCAAAATGCAAAACAAAAAAAAACAACAAAAAATCAGTTTGAATAGTTTAAATACCAAGGAGGAAATCGTTCCAGCAATGTGACAATCTTCCAATTTTAGCCCGTCCACATTAACTTATACATTGCTCTACGGATTTAAGTTCTTAGTTGATTAGTACTTGACGTGTTTAAATTTGAGATGACAATCCGTATAGAAATTTCGTCTGTAAGATCACTATTTCTGCTCCCACGGACCAGTCGATGAAAAAGTTTAAATTAGTTGTATTTTCATATACCCCTCCCCCCGCCCCCCACACATCCTTCATATTTTACAAAAGTTATTGATACGATAGTCTTACATTTTGGAAATTCGCATAGCAGCCATATAAGGCACGGTGCCAACACCCAAATCGGACGGCCATGCTAATGTTTCTCGGTTGCCAGTCAACTGACTTTCAGAGCAGTCGGCCGTGTCTGCATACCACCATCCACCACCAACCTTTGCTGCGCAGTTGAAGTTTGTCAAGTCTTGATCCAAAGTAGAAAATGGTCTGCCATTAATATTGATAGATCCAAGTAAGGAATCACCGCATTTGGCTGTTTTATCAGTTTGATAAGCACCCACTTGCAAGCGATAATTTGTTGACGAATTGCCAATTTCAAAATCCTCATACGTATTTTCACAATACGGTTTATTGACTATACTGAAAATGATATCTAATTTATTTCTAGCGTTTTGATTCAGAAGTAGTTTGATACGGTCTAGACCTAACCAATACTCTCCCATAGGGTCGCCAAATCCACCTACGTACTCTGTGATAGTGCGATTAAAATTAAAGGGGTTGCATTCTGCAAATCGCCTCATAATGAATGTAGAACCTCCCCATCTTAATTCACAGAGTACTTCAAATGGCTCATCTGAAGAATGGGGTTGAATGAAGGTCCTGATCCATCGCTGAAATACACCCATGCCTTTCTGGTTTCCGTCACTACAATCTACAATAAACAAATGACGACACATTTCACAAATTTCAATATAGATATAATTGGTAGTATTGACGTTTTCATTTTAAAATTTTTTTTTTATCTATATTAACAACAAACGTGGTTTTTTTATAAAGTAGGGAATGGAATATGTCAATGCAACAATTGTATTACCTTAATATTAGGGTAAAGATAGGGAGAGCATCATCCTGTCTTAAAAAAAATAGAAGATGGGGGGGGGGGGCTTTAAAGGGCGTTTTTGGTACCACTGTTTATTGTAGAATGATCTATTGGTTTATAAAACACCCACCTTTGATAACCAGGTCACATTTCTGTCCATAACGACCAACTGGACAACTGTACTGGGTACCATTGTTAATAGATACAACTTATAGCATAAGCTTATACAACAGGGAATAGGGGGTAACTTTCTTAAGGTAGTTAGATCACAATACGAAAAAGTTAAGTGCTGTGTTAAATTCGAAAATGGCGTATCAGATATATTTCAGTGTCAAAATGGCCTCTTTTTGGGCGAGGTCCTCTCCCCTGTCCTATTTTCAATGTATTTGCATGATTGTGAGTCTCATCTACTAGCAGACGATTGTCCAACTTTAGATATACAAACGTTAAATATTCTTATGATTAGGTATGCTGATGAAAAAGAAAACTGGTCATTCTATAATCAAAATCTTGAAGTTGTTGACTCATTTAAATACTTAGGAGTATTGTTGAATTTTAATTGTAAACTTATAAAAACGCAAAAACAAAACAAAAAAAAGGAACAACAAACAAAACAAAAAAAACCCAACGTATCAGACCAGGCCAGAAAAGCACTATTTTCCGTTTTAAAAGTATGCAATGAAAACTATTTTAGCACCGAAACAAAATAGTCAGTCTTCCACACCTATGTGAGTAGTATTTTATGCTATGGGTCGGAAGTTTTGGGGTTTTCATAAAGCTTAGCATGTCGAAAAGGTGTATCTGAATTTTTGCAAAATACTTCTTCAAACACGAAATAGTACTAGTACCGTTATGATATACCATGAATTGGGTAGATATCCATTTTCTATAGTAAGAAAAATTCGAATATTCAAATATTGGTTAAAGTTAATTAACACTGACAATATAATTCTTAGACGATGTTACAACGATATGTGCATAAACAACGATAACTGGATAGATAATGTCAAAAACGAATTATTTCGGCTTGGATTAGGAAATATTTAGAAAAGTAATGATTTTGATAATTCTAAACGCACATTGTCTCACACAGGCACTTGAAGGGATTAAAATAAACTTCTTACTACTGCTTGACTATATATTTTAGTATATAGTCAAGCAGTAGTAAGAAGTTTTATTTTAATCCCTTCAAGTGCCTATACAAATATATTGTAGATAAGTTTACAC